CGAAGTTTTTTTTGGCTGTCGCTTGTCGGTTGTTGGTTGCCGGCTTATCACGGCATCAAAACAAATTCGTTTGAAATTAATGCGCAGATTTGCTTTCATTAGTTGGCTTGCCGGGTGCAAATGTAACTGTAAACAAACACAATGGCAATAGGAGAGAAACCACCAGCATTCACATCCACGACACGCTCTGCACTGAAGCTAATCCCAAAGCAAAACTTTTGCCATTTACAAGGGCTGCGCCTGTTTCCTGCTTCCTTCTGCCTTGCCGAAAGCCCAACTTTCAGCAGCTCACGCAGTTGCCGCACCCGCCACGTGGCCCATAACCGTTTCTCCCCCTGACCCTGCCTTGGCCCTGCTTTTCCGTCAGCCCAACCCCGCACTGCCCGGTCGGATGTAGTTTGAATCGCTTTTTGGGCAGTGTCATCGCTTTGCATTCGGAGTATTCCGGCTGCGTGTGCCTAATGTGACAGTTTAATTGCAGGTGAGACGCGGCCGACGCGTGGCCGTAACTCAGAAAACTACGATGATGCAATTAGACAGGCAACGACTTTTCCATTGTCCTGCAATGACTTCTCAGCTCTATGTGCGGGCACTACCAACGCCAGATCCCATCCATCTAGTCATGTGGTGTGCGACGGGTGCGCAGTCTGGCATACTAAGCTGTCCCGTTTACAAATCGAAGTGTTTATTGGACCAAAATGAGTTTGCAGTGCTTTAATACTGACTTTAACTACCTCTTAGCTGCAACTTGGATGTTAAAGTTAATGACTTTTTTAATATTTCGAAGACTTTCGCACTTAAAAAGTATAATTTGATCGCATTATATCATAAAGTCTTTCCCATATAACAGCTAACAGCTATTTAAGCCACACACTGAGACTAAATACGAAGGTTTAAAGTAGGCTGTAAACTAGATCAAAGGTGTTCCCTCGCTGTCAGGGTCTACGGCTCTGAGCAAATTCTTAATTTGAACCCACCTACAAAATGAAAAATAAACAAAAAAAGGAAAACTTTCTCACATTACCTCACGGCCCAGTGGCGGAGGCAAGGGGCAAGGACGAGTACGTGAACTGAATCGCTCTAAATGGACATCGTTTAATATTGATGGGCATTGTTAGAGCTCTTTATGATGAGAAAGCGCTCTGAACGATGGAGTTTTGGCCGCTGCTACCGTTCGGTTTCAAGTGAATATTTAATTAAATTGTTTTCTAATAACCACGCGCAACTTTGTTGGGCTGCACGCGCCAGGACACGCGGCAATCGAGCCGACCAGCCAGGACACACCTTGTTGTGCCAACAACATTAGCAAGGGCGGTGCGCCTCGCTCTCGATGGCCCAAAAAGCCTGAGCCACCCCTTTCCTGCAGCCAGCTCAACCAGCTCGGCTAGCTCAGCCAGTTCGGAGTGCTCTGTCCTTTCATGTGCTTCTAATTTTCCAAATTACGCACCATCAATCATCGCAAGTTGCGACACGAGCTTGACGAACGTCGATTGCGATTGCGATGGCGCTCCGATGGCGTTGTCGATGATGATGATGATGTCGTTGCAAACTATAACCACCCAACCACCCAACCACGAATCGACAGCCAATCCCTGGACGCTAGCACTTGAATCAAGCGACGCTGCGGCAGCCGCAAGAAAAAATTAAATTAAACTTCAAGTGGCCGCAATGTTGCGTGTGTGCTAAAGCAGCAGCAGACGCAGACGAAGCGGCAGGTCCTGGTTGCTGGCTGCTGGCTGCTGGCAGACTGTAGCCTCATGCAACTCGTTTGTTGACTGTGGGAGTCTGATGTTGTTTTTGTTTTTGCTTTCGCTTTTGCTTTTCCCATAATGCGTATTGTTGACGCTGTAGTTGTTCGTCTTGTTGTTCCTGTGGTCCAGTGCAATTAACGCTAATTGCGCTTAAGCATAAGCCGGGCTTTTGACTTTAGCAACGTATTTCCAGCTTCGGCTTGGGTGCAGGGTTTTCCCAGTTTTCAGTTTGCGCCTTAATCTGCGCTGTGTTTTCATATTGGCTTGACTCTTTGACAAAACATTTGTCTTGTAATAGTTTTACAAACATGGCTTAGGTACCAACATCATATTAGAGACGGAAGTAAACGAATCCTTAAGTAAACAGCTATGAAAGACTAACTTTAACATCTTGAATAACATTTAAGATGAGATTATGAATGACTGCAAAAGCTTAAAAATAAATAAACAATTGGAATCAAATCAATTCTAAGAAAGAAAAGAAAGAATATATGACCGACATATATATATAAATTATATACAGCAAATATCATTTAGCAAATAGATAGCAATTTTGTTTTAGGAATTTCGATATGAATACCAGTGAAGTAGTTAGTGAGCTTTCCTCTGTTAAGAATTTCCTCTTTGTTAACTGACGACCCAATAGAGATCCAGATTATGCCTAAGTAAATAAATATCATCCACTACAATGGTATAGGCTGAGGACATAGTCTATCGAATGGCTGGAAAAAGTTGCCTATAAAAATAGTCATAGTTGCTCAAATTCCTTAGGCGTAAATCTACGACCATTTATAATAATGCTTATGTATCTCATCCGCTGTCAGGAATTTTAATTAGACATGCACTATAACAAATGAAAGAGCTTAAAGTTGAATGGGTCAGCTGGACGATGTGCGTCTTAGCAATGCAGTGCAATTAAGAGCTCAATCAAAGTGACTGCGGCTGAGTCTCCCAAATTACATTTATGGAATTATTATTGATGTTTGGCAGTGACCACCAATCAGCCCAGCACATGGCGACCCGTCTCTAATTCCACTGGCAAAACCGAATGGGACACCCCAAGCCAATGGCCATTTTCAATTTGGTTGAGTAGTTCCTCGTACATTTGGCTGACCACTTTGATTGAAGCGCAGACACAAAATGCTGGCAGGCAGCTATTATATTTAAGCTGCCTCCGATCGGTGCTTATATATATATATATGCATGGGTATACAGGGTGCACCACCCCACACCACCCCCTGCCACACTCAATAACGATTCCCACATACTTTATATGTATTATGTACATAGTTGATTTGCTTGCTGCTCGCTCAGTTTTAGAACTTTACATATACACTCACACACTAACATACACGCAACACAGACACACACAGAGTGTAGAGTAGGATGGCCTCGGATTTCATTCATGTGCCGAACCATGCGCCTTTCCCGAATCATCATCATTGATTTGCAATGCCCGAAATGTGTCTGTCTAATGATTGAGGTTTGTTGCTGTTGTGCTGTGCTGTGCCTAACTGCCAAACATTCGGCTATAGTTGTCTGCATGTATATATATGTGTGCATGTGTGTCAATCTCTCTGTGTGTGTGTGTTTGCCATCGTTTTTGGAAATATTATATGCTCATACCTCCGTTTTCGAGTAAATTGTGTAAATATTTGCGCTCGTAAGTGGATTGGAGATGGATGAGTTTATCAACAGCGTATTCGCCGTCGCAGCAATGCCATCTCCATCTCCATCTCCTCCATCCCCAACCCCAACGCCTGGCCTCTTCCCATCCCAATCACCAACATATTCACATGCGTAGCCAGCTGACTGATTGCCTTTGCCTGCCGCTAGCTATCCGAAGTTTGGCCCTCAGCTCTTTGCCAACTGCTGCATTCCTGTCCTTGATAACTGTATGGGCTAACTTCTATTCCATCTGTCCGTCTGACAGTAAACGGTTTAGGATTTCAACAGCAAAAAATGCATTTATCAGTGTTGTTTTTAAAAACACTCGACCTCGAACTACATTTGCTGAACTTGTTATTTACTATTTTGTTGTTAATAACCTATTATATTTAAGTTTTACTTTCACATAATTTCACTATTACAAAGTTATCACAAATTTAAATACTAAATCTATTTATGGCAGACAAATACTAAGAAATTTTAAATACACTTGTAAGCTGATTAAGTAAATAGGCTTTTATTAACTATAATAATGATTGATAATTATTAATAAAGAAACTAGTTCTTTTTCTCGAAATTCGAATTGAGATACACTTAGCAAAGGCACTTACCCGACGCACAGGTGAAGAGACCCAACATTTGGTTCTGTAACATACTATTTTATATTACAGATTGGAAACAGTTGGCTGAGAGCTGTCCAATTGCTTCGAAAAATAATCTCAAACTATTATCGAAGTCACGAACCTCTAAGCTGATGGAGAGAATCTATGTTTGGTTCAATTGCTTTCAAACTGTACATTTACTTCGAAACATAATCAAACACTTATACCCCAGATCATCTTAAGCTATTATCGAAGTCTCGAATCACTAAGGACACAAACCTAACGCGCAAGTGGAGAGAATCTACGTTTGGTTCTGAAACAAACTATTTTTATATTACAGTTTGGAAATGGCTGAGAACAACTTTTGCAGTTGTCCAGCAACTGCTCTCAAGCGGTCGCCTTATTTCGAAAACTAACGCGACACCTTACCCCAATTCATCTCAAACTATTATCGAAGTCTTGAACCACTGAAGTATCTAAAATTTACTTTGACTAAATGCAGCAGTGCAATGACACTCAAACTCCAAATTACTTCGAATTGCCCAATACACGCTGTAAAGCAACTTAGACTGTCAGCGATGGTTCAAACCACAAAACTATTTAGCAACTGCTCCAAAACTGTTTGGGTAAGAACTATTTAATACAAGTTTCAAATTAAATATTTCATTCTAAAGATTAACTATCAATATAACAGAAAAAGTCATTTCCCATATTTAAAATGTTTACTGCATTAATGCAGTACTTTGAACTGCGAACCATGCTAAAGACGCAGGTGCGCGCGTTTAATTAAACTATCTAAAAGCTATCACAGGCAGAACAGTAATTACGCACTAGAGAACTTAACTACAACTATGTACTCATATGTATATATATACATATGTATGTATATATATATATATATATATATATATATATATATATATATATATATATATATATATATATATATATATATATATATATATATATATATGTGCTGCACATGGATACATGCCGTCAGCAGCTCCTTCGGCGCCATCTTCGTGCACAACATGCATTGAGGAACTTTAAAGTAACTAAGCGTTGGTCCAATTCGGGCTATCGACTTGGATGATTGAGTGGCAGGTTGAGCTCCCACAGTTTCATGTTGTTGTCGAGCACTTCGTGGAACCAGCTCTCCTTCTGCGGATGATCCCTGAACACAACGTTAACTGCCTTCAAGTCCAGCTGCAAGATGGCATCGTTGCCCAGCAGACTGTCCAGCGACCTCAACAGCGTACTGTTTCCATGTAACTTGAGCAGGGTCACATACTTGACCACGTAGTACTCGTATTGCAGCTTGCGCCGAGCCCAGCGCTCGACGGTGGCATTGGCACTGGCCGAACGGATCTGGCCGAGGTGCTCAGCGAACCATGGCGCAAAATAGTTGTATAGATCGAGCTTGGAGAGGCCATTGAGGCCTTTGCTCTTGATACGCTCCTTGATCATTTTGTAGTTCTTGCGACTATACACGAACACCTGGTACAGCGAGTTCCCCGTCGTGTAGGAGTTAACGTAGTGCGTGCCGAAGGACTCCATAAAGCGCACAGCCGATGTCAGGTTGCCGACCTGCAGCTGTTGGACGCGAGTTCGCACATCCGCTTCCAGCGGCTGATTGATTGGAATCTCGGAGTTAAGTTTGCCCGTCTCACGGAAACGTACGACGCGGACTAGCACATAGGAGTAGTCGCCCACTATGAAGGACGTGTTGATGCCCAACTTCTTGGCCGCATTATCTGGAAACCAGCCGCCCGTAAAGGCCTCCCAGGGCTTGTCCAAACGCTCAATGGTAAAGTCACGGAAATACGCCTGAAACAGTTGGCGGCGATTATCGCAGAACTCCATGTGGAAGTCCCCATGGAATATGCCTGGCGCCGTATACTCCTGGCTCTCTGACAGCTCACTCATGTTCTGAAAAGATAAGCCATATACTCGTATAAGTATTTTGATATACGTAAATACATTTCTAAGAATGTTTTAACCGAAATGCAAATTGATCTTCGACTCCGGAAATGCCAACGGACTATTTTTAAAATGCTTATAAATGTCTTTTTTCAGGTTGCTCTTCTTCTTCTGTCAGTTCTTGGAATGACATGAAATTGAAATCATTAACAAGCGTCTTACATTTTCACTGACAGACGAGCGAGCAAAGTTTTGGTCAATATTTGATCTACCAATAAAAAGTCTAACTGAGTTTGCACTAATTTGTACACGCTACAGGAATTTAACAAACACTCACCTTATATATATTGCGAGTTGGTTCCTTGAATATCCAGCGCTCGCCTTCGGCACTGTCGTTCAGGGGTATCACGCGCATCGATATGCCCAGATAGCCGTATCGTAGGAAGATGTTAATGGCTTTGCCAATGCGCAACTGGGACTCGCGGCTGCCACTGACCGCCAGTACGAGGAGCCCCAGGGTCAGCAGCCAAAGCCAGAAGAGGCCCCGCCGCGGGCACAGGCTCGGGCTCATCGCTCAGCTGTTTGTTGGTCGGCATGCAACGGGGGCTGCAAATGTGGAGAGCGGTAAACGGGTCGATTATAACAACTTAACGTTTACGTTTGCTAACTAGTTTGTAGTCTTTATACATTTGATATTTGCGCTTCTACTAATGTATTGTACGAATGACGTCGATAATTTATGCCCACTGCCACTGGCTCTGTCGGGCAGCTTCTTTTGAGCTTCGAGCTCTAATTGGCCATGAACCGGTAGCTGAGTTGAACTTGAACCGAGGCAAGGTGAGGCCTGCAGCTAGATGAGCCACTTAAGTGGCTGTCGCTGCAATTAGCCACGCAACACACAGACACACTTGAACACCATAGAGCTGTAGAGATATACAAATTGGATCAGCCAGAGATCTTTTTTACTGTCGTTGTCGTTCCTCAAATGCAAATTATTTCCTCAAGATGGCTTTTTTGTATGCTTCGTACAGTTTTATAACGATATGGTGCACCACTTTAAACCGGTTGTGTGTTTGCCGATCTCTTGACTGGGACGAGGAACGACAGCAACAGCAGCAACAACAGCAACAACAACTATCATAAAAACTGGCACAGCTGAGCCGAAGCCAAATCGGCAAATGCCAACAATATGCAACTTGTTGAGCAAACTCGTCAAAGGCAGCTTAGAATTACCGACGTTATCAATAGCTACAGCTGCAGCAGCAGTGGCAGTAGTAGCAGCAACGACTATATCAACCGCAGCAGACGTGTTGAACCGGTCAAAATAAAAAGGTTAGCCATAATACTCGGCGGCGGTATCGGGTGTTAGCCATGTCTATATGAGTCACACCTGAGCGCGCTGAGGCGCAACATTTGCCAAGCGACCGACAAAGATGACGGTCAAAATGTGAGCTTTGTTAGCGAACCATAAAACATAGGGGAGACCACAGTCGTTGCACCTGTGCCCCCGTCACCAGGTAATACGAACACAAGAATACCCTAAAATAAACCCATCAAACAGATTGCAAAACTGATCATTGAAAGAGAAGCACGACTGTTATTGCTTTAGCAGAATTATCTAACGAGTATTATTTACTTTTATATATATATATATATATATTGAAATTCATCAGAATTTATAATATGGTTACAAAACGAATGCTAATCTCAGCATGGCCTCGCTGGCATCTCTGTACGTTAGATAAAACTACAATTATTCCAACTACTAAAAATATATGTATATATGTATATACATTTAATTGCACTTAATCGTATTGTCATTGTGTGCGTTTATCATTTTGATCTATTAGAACTCCATGAACTCGGCTTAATGATACGATTTCAAATATGATTTTGCTTTTATTTTGGTGTAGTTCTCTTTACACTGGAGCTGAAACTACCTATAGCAACTAGCCGAGATATAAATGTAGGACTATCCCTAATACAGAACACAAAACACAAACGAGCTGGTTGGATCACTTATTAGATATATACAATGGATGAAGAAAAGAAAATAAGTGAATATTAAGGAACGAGATTAGTTTAATGGATACGTTATATCTATGAATTCATATTTGCTTTATTTTGATTTGACTACACCTAATGTAGATCTGGTTTTATTTAATTTGTTTACTAGAGCAAAATTATAGTTTTGCAAATTTAAGATTTCATCTTCTTCGATTCGAACTTGAGTTAGTCCATAGTTTTAGTTTGTATTCTTCGAATAACAATAACAATAACAATAATACTAATAATCTTTTGGGCAAATATTTTTAAATAAATAATTAATTAGAACTTGAACAGGTTTCCATGCTTCGTGTTGGTTGTTAATTTCTTACTAATTGTTGTTTAAATGAGGTTATAAAAAAGATTAAACTATGTAAAGATTTGTTTACTTCGACCTAACGACGCCTGACTACCCCTAATGTAAAGTTTTTCTTTTGATTGGCGACACCGTATTGACTACTGTCTATCGTTGGCCATTGAGGAGAGCTTAAGAGTCAAAAGCATTGTAAATTCGCAGTATTTATCACGCTTGTATTTATGATATAATGATATTTTGAGTATGCTGCGGTAGGCATACAAAGACAGCATGCGCGTAACCTTGTGCAAAATGACCAAAAAGCCATACCGAAAGCAGAGCCGCAACCAATACCGAAACCGAAACCGAAACCGAAAGACGAGAGACGGAGACTCGCAGATGCGGACGAAGACGGGACGCAGTCGTTCAAATGAATCAAAAATTCAATGCGCGCGTTGACGATTGCGTCCGACTCTGACGCTTGACTACTCTGTCCGACAGACAGCTAACCAGATCGTCGAGACGGAGTCATCAGCCAACAGCGAGTCAGCCCCTCAATTGGAGATTCTTTATGCGCGGCATTTATGGGGTCTTTTGTGGCCATGTCTGTGACGAGAGAGGGACGAGGAGGAGGCGACCGCGCGAAGGGCACGCATAAGGTCTGCAGTTTATAGCTATGTATGTCTTAGGTTTGCTTGTATGCAACCTAGGTATTTACACACATTTAAGCACATCTCAATTTTCCTTGGCAAGTGTTTAACATACATACATAATTAGAGCTTAGATCATAAGCAGCCGCTGTATTCGTTTTTGCTTTTTACAATCTTCATTTTTGACTGCACAGAAGAATTCACGAAACACCATTAGGCAGCAGAAGCAGCTACTCTTACAGACACACATATGTGCTCGTACTCGTATTTCGATAAGCTTTGACACGCACTCAGCTACCAGAGAGATTTCGACTTAGACTTTTGTACAAATGTAGCTGGAGCACAGAGCACACGGAGGCAGCTCGAGCCGATTGGCCGTTCGACAACGACGACGACGACGACTTGTTTGCTACTGGTTTGCCTTATCGCACGGCTAACTGACAGCAGGGGCCAATGCACAAGGCGCGTTTGCCATCGTTAAATACTCAAATAGCATTCTATACATAAATACGGCTGATCTTAAAGGTCAGTCCCACTGCGCGATCATAATTGTGAAGGCAACGCAACAGATACTACAATAACGTACGGCCAAAGGCGCCGTCGCTGATCTTTCCGGAAAATGATAAGCCAGTCAGCGGCTGCCTGCCTTTACAGACAAATTTCAATTAAGTCGAGTATCTTTAGCTTTTTTTTGATAGTTATATTTGCGCGCACTGTTTTTTTGTGTAAGTTTCAGCAACACATAAATTCCGGCTACCCACACCGAGAGAGAAGAGAGAGAGGGAAACACTCATACATCAGAGGCGCACTCACTCACAGTCTGGCACTCACACATGCACGTGCCTTCCAATTGCAATTAAAAAGCCGGAATCGATTCTCCAAGCACTTACGAGTACACCTCGAAAACGAGCCGTGTCAACGGACACAACTTGAACCGCGCAGACTCGAAGCAAAACTGAAACTGGCTGCCGAGCTGCTCAGCCACCAGCCACCAGCCACCAATCTAGCAGCAAGTCAACCAGCCAGCCAGTAAGTCAGCAGCTACCAAAACTCGATCGCTTCAGAGAGAATAAGCTGAGCGGCGACGCTCCAGCGCACAGTGGTCTAGAATCGTTAGCTATGGGAAAGGTTTCTTATTAATATCACATTTGTAAAGATCAATTATAGAAAAGATTAAGCATAAGGTTAGTAGAAAATATGTAACATATAATAGTATAAGGTAAATAGTAACATAAAAAATATTTTTGAAGCTAATTTTTAGTAAAATAAATTGTATGCTTCAAATATATTACTTTTTAGTGTATTTCCAAATTTAAGTCTGAATATTTGTTATTAAACAACTAGTTTAATTATGTCAAACTGATATTCAAAATATTTATGAACACTTTCACCAATACAAAATAATATCTATATATATTATATTAGAGTAAACATATTACATTTTTTAAATAAAATTTATTTTAGTATTATTTAATTTAATTTGAATTCTTTTTTACTTCTCGCATCTTAATTTGTATATCATTATATTCAATTCAAAAGTGAAATTTCTATAGCTTAGTTTGTTTGGCCCACTGTGCTGCAGCTGCAGTTCAATGACTGTTGGGCAGATGTTCTAGTCGCCTGCCTGCCCCTGTCTCGCCCTCTTCGCCTCGCGCAGTGGGGCGCAAAAACGGTAATAGCACATGACACAAATGTCTAAATATCTTTGTTGCCTATGTATGAATGTATGTATGTATGTATGTAAGTATGTAAGTATGTATGTAAGCATGTATGTAGGTGCACACACAGCTTTTCCGCTTATGAATATTTCCCATCACGTCTGTCGCTTCCACATTGGCATACTAAACTGCTCGAGACCTGGGAACTGCGAACCTCGAACTGGGAGCTTGGACCTGTGCCCGACCAACAAGTCGCCGTCGCCGTCGCCGTCGCTGTGGTCGCAGAGCATATGGAATTGATTGCAGTTTAGCTTTTGAAAATTGAGCAATACTTCAATAGAATTGTGAAGCAGTTGCTGAAATTAAAAACTTTTTGTCAGTCTGCTAGGCGGTCGGTCAACACACTCCAGTTTAATTTAAAAAATAAAACCAAATCCGAAAAAAAACTGAAAGTATCAAATTCGCATTACCTTGAAAAATATGCACAGCAATTTGACCCAAATTAAGAGCTGTTTTGACAACAAGCTGACGCGATTTGAAGTTTTTCAAATTTCTCAATTAGAAACATCAAACAGACTGACAAGCGGACTTCAATTGTCACGAACTTCAGTGCATTTCACTGAATTCAGCTGGCCAACTTCCAAGAAGAGCGGGGAGTTCTTTTTTCTTCACTTGGCCATTTCCGAAAAAATCAGCATTAAAACTGGTTGACTTTCTGATTTACACACATACAGACGACAGTCAGTACACCATGCAGATTTGGCGACTACATTTTTTTTTTTGGTTCAATGTAATTGTCGTATTACATACATAGATAGGTACACACAAATAGATATATTTTGATTTAGAATCAAAAAGTATTAAAAACTCGGGATTTAGTATTTATTTCATTTTTGGTTTTTATTAATTTTTAATTCGCATTCCATTTTCGTTTCAATTTTTATTTATTTTTATCCCACATTTAAACTATGTATATAATGTAATCTTCATCATTTATTTTAAATGATATTTACTAACGTCTCAACTATTTGCACATATCGATCTTATTTCATTAATATTTTAATAACAATTCACTCAATTAGCTCAAATAGTGTCAATCCTTTTACATACACATTATATATTGACTTTGGGGATCATAAGTATCAATATTATCCTTATGAATGCATCATTATACTTTCATTGCCATTTATTTGTCAACTCAGGAAATTAGAGAAAAATTCTAATTCACTCGGGTTGCATGTTTTGGTATCGATTCTCATACCACTTTATCATTTACGCAATATCAACAATAATTTTGATTTAAATTTAATGTGAAATTATTCTTAATATATCGCTACAATTTGCTCGCATTTGCTATGAAAAAAATATACATATATTTTAATAAATAAATTATAATAATAATCGAAAACAAAAACAATGTTATAGTTATACTCTTCTAGCCGGAAAGGGCCCCGTTCCATACACCATACCAATTATCGTAAAATATAAGATTTTGATTTGAGCATTGGTGCTGTGAGACACCCAGCCAACTGGGGGCTGCAAAATATACATACAATACATACACTTTCTAGGTATTTAGGTATAAGTACTACATAGTTAATTTGGCCACTCGGCTGCGTTTGTCATGGGTAGTAGGTAGTTATGTTTTTTGTTTTTGGGTAGGTTCTTCTGATTCATTTCGTTTGGGAATACATCTATGATTTGCATTTCCTCTCAGCCTGCCTGCTCATTTCTCTCGGATCTCTGACCTCTAATCTCTCATCTCTCATATCCGCTCGATCATCTCTGTTCTCTGCCTCTCGTCAGCTGTGACACTCGGAACGTAAAATTAATAGACCAGCATTGTGCATATTGAGTATATGCTTAAATTGTTCAACCATCTTGAAACCATAGAATTATTCATGTAGTTCTTGTCGGTAGCGGCATATATTAACTATAGGGTGGATTGAATGGAGGCTAGTGGTTCTCAAAGTAAGCTCCGGCTCAAATGGGAAAGGTATTAAAATGGGTTGCATTGCTGATTGCTGCCAAACGTGCTGTATGATTATAAATTTAAACGTTTTGCTTTGATATTCATTTTTGCTATACGCTTTTTGTATTTTTTTCTATACTTATTTTTTTTGTTTTTGGTTTTATTCTAGATGTTAGACTTAAAGTGTTCGCATTTCGCTTGACCAATATGTTGTTCTGTTTGTGTTGGCGCTATTATTTTGGCCTAAAGTAAGAGTGTTCCGCGTAGCTTAGAAATCTAATTGCAGGTTACCCTGAGACGCTTAGCTTTCTATGGGTTGTTCCACTTGCATTCATTGCATATGCACGATGCCTGGAACTGCATGCGATGTTCAGCTAACGCCTAGACTCTGCTTTGATTTTTAAAGTTTTGGTAAACTTACAAAATAGCTTGTCATTGCAGATGAAATTTAGTGCTAACAGCGTGTTCACGAGTCACGATTTATCATACTTCATTTTTATATATTGTATTCGTTTTGCTTTTTAGATCGAAAAAATAAGAATCAAACTTTACTTGAATCATAATAAAAGCGAGTGAGTTTAAGGTTTCTATAAAAGCAGGTGCCTTCAGCAATCCTGTAAAAACGGATGAAATCGTTTCCTGCTGCTGTAATTTGATTGCGTAACTTCTAAACGATTTCTTCTTTGTATACATAATACATTAGCGTTAAAAACTTAAAACTGCGACGCTATCGGGTGGTTTTCTTTAAATCTTTTGTTTTGTCGATTTTAATTTTAGTTTGTTTGGATTGTGGGCACATTGATTTGGTTCACTTGATTAAGCTGTCTGTTATTGCTTATTGGCTGTGGGATAAAAGGAAGCGCTCGCTATATTAATCTTATTCAACTTGTCTGATTTTCAATGTATCCAACCTGAGTTTGAGTTGCTCAAAAATATATATGTGTATATTTTATTATATATACGTGTTTACGTGTTTCTATTTTGGTGCGTTCACCTGCACATTCTTTACTAAATAGTGGTTCAAAATGTATTACATTTATCATTTCTTGACAATTTTGTATATTTTATTATATGCCGTTACTATAATTCATATTTTGTTTGTTATTGTTAGTACCTTTGTGTGTATGCATATGTGTATGTGTGTGTGTGTTGGTTTTCGTGCTCACTCTATGTTTTAATTTGTCGTGGTTTAATTAATTGTCGTTTATAATAATAACGCTGTGGCAATTAATTAAATCTCTTTTGTTGTTTGATTGCATTTTCTTCATCTTTTTAGTTCTTAATTAAATTAATTCAACTTCAACAATTTTGTTCGCAAATGCACTTTTGCTGTTTTGCGTTGTGTATGTAAGTGTAATCATTTTCACGAATTTTCTAATTTTTCTTTTATTGCATTTAAAACCGTGCACATTTTTGTTATATTTATTAAATGTTTGTATTTGTATTAGATTTTCTTATGTTTTTTCGTTTTTAAGTGTATTTAATTGTTTTTAATTTGTTTGAAACACTTGAAATTGCTCACATCATACTAAACTTTATATATTTCTTGTTTTTGCGCTTGCTCATATGGCTCATCATGTTTATTACTTTTGTTCTATGTTAGTTAAATTTAATTACGTAGTTTGCTATAATTTACTAACTCGTTTTACGCTCGCTTTTCAAAAGACTTTCTATCGTATTTGCAAGTAAAATTGCAAACATTTTACATTTTGTGTTAGTTATCCGTTGGAGTGCTTTTGTTGCAGTTCAAGTTAACTTAACAACTAACAACTGTAAAAATTACATAAGCGTCTAATGCTGTCTGGCAAAAGAATACTCAACAAAATACTAGTTAAAACAATAACACAAACAATAAATTTGTTGGAATGGCAAATAAAATAATATTCAACTTAGACTAAAAACATCAAGTTTAAACAATTAGTATAACAAAAATTAAATTTTAAATACGGTTTCATTTTTGTTTTCAATTTTACAGTTTTTTTTTTGCGTTGCGACTGCAGTTCCCATAATACCCAATTTTATGTATATATATATATATATATATATATATATATATATATATACATGTGTGTGTGTGTGAACATAATGTTAGCAGACGCCAGGCGCCTGCCCACTTCACTAAATGTAAATGTGTGTATCATGTGTATGTTTGTTGTGTCGTATTTGTGCCTTTTTAATACTTTAATGGTGTCTGTCTGTATTTTCAGTATAGCGCCACATTGGACGCCTGTGTGTATGCATCCCACTCGCAATCGCAGCCATCGAGACAGTCGGGACATTCTAGCTCACTGTCTTGTCAGTAGAGCCAAGACACGGGCACCCATTGTGGTGTGGTATGCACCCGATCAATGGCCGATTCCAGCGTAGCAATCGTCTCGCTAATGTCATTGTTCACAATGGTCAAGTCAAAGAAATGTCCATACAGTTGACGCAGCATATCCGATTCCTTCGCCAAACGCTCTAAGCTACCATCGTACTGCAATTACAAATAATTCAATAAGTCAAAGGCCAAAGGTCAATTTCTGTAACTCAAGCCTTACATCTGCAATGTTCTGCAGCGATGGCGCCGCTATAAACACCACGTAGGGCGTGAATTCAGCAGTGCGAAGTATTTTGAGGGCCTGCGGCTCCACGTCTAATATGGCCATTTTGCCTTCGGTATGTATGCGTCGAATGGTGTCCAACTTGGTGCCATACATGGCGTCCTCATGAGTTCCTAATTATATAAAAATCGCTTCAATAAGAACTCAATTTAATCAAAAAATCATTTCATATAGTATACGTACCATATTCTAAATACTCGTTGGCACCAATGTCGGCCATCATCTCGTCATGTGAAACAAAGTAATAGCTGCGTCCGTTTTCCTCCTCGGGCTTAGCAGGTCTCGTTGTATCTATTAAGGAAAGAAGATCTTATCAATTATGTATTCTGCATGAATTCTACTCGGTGACTTACGTGGTATGGGATACGCGTACTTGTCGGGATACTTTGATATTAATGTATTCTTAATATGCCGCCTGCCCACGCCATGTGCGCCTAATAGCACCAAAGTCTTGCGCTGAAAGTTCGGATCACCGACTAAATAAAAAGGGTTCCATATTACCATTTTTGTAGCTGCACAATTTGCCAATTATTATTTACCTGGTACTTTAACAACCTCTTCGTACGTAACCACATCGAGCGTATCGAATATGGCATTATGTTTAGCCAAATATTTGTCTCGACATTGCTTCTTTTTGCGCCCGAATATGGAACAGTTCACTGTGGGTTACATAAACCGATATATTTAGTAGAAGTTAGGTAAAGGCAAATATAATTTTAATATATATAAAACATGCATTAAAAGCTGTAAGTATAGGGCAAATTCAAACGAAATCGTTCATAATTTCATAAATATCTTCACTTTATACAGTTGTACACAGTATTTAATATTAACTTTATGAACGGTGAACTTGAATTTGTATTGGTCTTTTGACGTAAATGTTCGTGTCATTGAAGCGATTCTATGTTAGAGTATATTCATATGAAATGTCAAAGCTGCGTCTGGGAACTGAATGATATATTAAATAGCATTGAACAACGAATAAGATTATATGTGCTCTTGATGAAATACTGCTGTAAGCTTTTTGTCCTTGCAGAGGTAATAATTACCTATTATCCATATAATATTCGGATATCAGTGAAAGCCAAATTAAAAAAATATGTAATTGAAAAATCGAAAGAAAACTTCAATGAAATTTAAATAAATATTGTAATTATTACTTAAATGATAAAGAAACCATAGACTAAAATACTTTTTTGCTTTCAAACGTATCCAAAACCTCTGCATGGGTAATCGGAAAGCCGATAATGTGTATTTTATGGCATATGAATATGGATACTTTTCTATGGAATCAGGTGTGGGTGTGCCGTTTTAGATGAACTTTGCTACGTTTGGTGACGTGAAAGAGACTTGAATAAACATAAAACTCTAGAAAAAACGTTAAATGTTCATTTGTTGCTGAAATATTTGTTAACTTGGGTCTTAGGAGTATTAGCTACCTGCGGATCCATCACACCCATCTGCGTGAGCGGAACATCCAGCACCCGGCTCTCCTGCATAACATTGTTATACATATATATATATATATAGAATATGTGTGATTGACGCTTTCACGATTTTGAATATATATTATATGTACGTGTTACCTATAGTTAGGCTTGTGTCTTCAAATGAAACTCTCAATCTAATTGTATGTTCTTTACTGTTAAATAACAGCGCAGTTTTACTTTTGTACTATTTTGACGAAATTTAGGGGACTTTTGAGACTACTTTTGTCATGCAATTCTCTGTAATATTTTTCTTTTGTAATGCTCGTGTAAGTTTTCATGTGTGATATGGTCAAGAGTGAGTGAGCGTGGGAGTGTCGGAGTGTGGGTGTGTACTAGTGTTGGCTAGGCACTGCCTGTTGCAGAATGGTTTTTTGGTGAACTACGAATTCATCACACGCTTTCCAATATAATAGAATTATAAAGCATACGATTATATTTAGCATCCAATTACACATATAAATAGTACACAGATATTTGGTTTACATGTATTTATGGAAATGTTAAGAGGAAATTTGAAATATACACGTACCCTGCTCCTGCTTGGTCTTATCAACGGTCTGACAAGCAATGCGCCATTCCTGCAGCTCAGGTGATGGTATCAGGCCCGCCGAACCGCCCACCGTATCAATTCTCGCCTGCCACCAATGATGATCGTCCTTGCTGATGATCTAAATAGAATGATGAGGCCGGTCATTAGTTAAAAACATGAGGCTTGACTGAGATTTCTTAATGCACCTACCTGCAGTATGTCGCCTACTTGGAATGCAATCCCTGCCTGGGCACATGGTATAAGCTCATCATCCAGCGGATTATAATCAAACTGTGCACGAACGAAAATCTGTACAAAAAAACAAGAGCCCAACAAAAATCTATTAGTTTATCGCAATACAGGCATAGTTCCCTAATGCGTTTGTCGGATAGATGTCCGTAAACACAGCTAACCATTAGAAGAGATTTTGTCTTTTGTTAAACTCCGCATGCAAGTGGCAATGACATCAGACAAGGAAAATCCATTCAATTTCTGCTAGTGCAGATGCTGATGCTGATATTAGTGCAGCTATGTTTATTAATGAATCAAACGTATGACTTTTTAATTAAGTCTATGTAGATGGAGGCAGTCGAACAATGTGGATGCATGCGTCTCTTTCATGCTTTACATGTTGATTTGTCGAAACGTGATACTTACAAGCACTGGAGCAGGTCTTATCCTGAAAAGCTGCGTGTGTGTTAGGGAGGAGGGGTGAAGAGCGAGTAGGAGTCATGTTAATGTTCAACAATATAATTACATAATTGCTTTGAATTAGTGAATTTCAAAGTAAAATAATATTACACAAATCATACGTTTGCTTTACGGACTAGCAAAACAAAATGAACACGAATTAAATTTCATTCAAATTACAAACCAGAAGAATATAAAATTTCCACAAGCAAATTATTGATTTATTTCTCTCTACCAATTTCGAATTTAAATTAAATTTGCCTCAAACGTAACTAAACACAGATTATCCAAAAATTATGAATGTATTTATATATATATGTATCCCTGTCGTTCGACTTACACTAAAAAATTGAACACACAAAATTTTCGTTTGTGTTTGTGTAAATCCTAAAACATAAAACCAAGTTGATGAAACTTTAGACATTAAAGCACACTTTTAAGCTAAATTTGATTGACGGGCGTCATTCATGAAAAATAAAAAATACATTGACCTACATTTTTTATAATTATATAAAAGTAAATAAAAAATTTAACTATATGAAATGACCGCAGTTTAAAATTTATGATGGGTAATAACAAGGTTGAGGTTTTGCCTCTCTAATTATTTATTCTCGCTAGAGGCCGAACAGGTTATATGTAAAAAACAATGGTTGACGATATCTATACGATTATATTTTGCTCAGGAATAAGCAATATATTATGTATTTCCCAGATACAGTTCTTTGATGAATATTTAAATTATTGAACAGGTTCAACTTTGAATTAAATATTTAAAAGGGCCAAACTAAAACTGTTAATTTAAATAACAACGAAGTTTATATAAGACTTACCTCACAGGGTGGTGGTGCGCTACGGTAAGAAGGAACTATTTTAAAGGTAACCGAACCGCGTGCCTCGCGCTGAACAAAAGAAATACAAAACAATACTTGGTAAACCATATTTGGTCGCAAAAGGAATACACAGCTTACCAGCATTCGTTGCAATTGACCCACTGACTGATGCTGCACCGGCTGACCATTGATCTCCCGTATCTCGTCGCCCACGTGCAGTGTGGCCTGCCGATGTATCATGCCACCGTGCATGATGCGCGCCACTATACACCGCCCGTCCTCTGTCATTTTAAGCGTGATGCCCTGTGGCAACAAAAAGGTGAATGGCGAACGAGTTTGAATGCCATTGGCTAATTGTGGTGGCAACTCGACTTACCATGGGCTCGTCGGTGTTCTTTTGGAACTGCACGAGACGCACGCGTGTCACATGCTGCAGCTCGCCGCCCTCAACGTTGTCCAGCTCGTCGCCATTGAGAAAGGGCACCATTGGCGGCGGAGTGACGCGTAGCGCCTCCTCGCCATACACGTCTCGGGCAACAACATCGTGTGTATGTAGCAGAGCCTACCAAAGAACGTCAAAAAAAGGATGCTTTTGTTAACTTTTATTTCGAGGTCTGGGCTTTGGCCGAAAGAAGACGACTGAAGGCGACACTCAAAATTATGGCCGGCAATTAAGCTGCCAGTTATTATGCCACTTTCTGTGGAAATTAAATTTCCGATTTGCTATGCCTGTCTCATATATCATAACCCAAACACACAAACAGGGGTTCAAGCCCCGTCGAACGCCCACACAACTTGTTTACAACATTAACTGGCAACATTTGTTGCCAAGAGCGAATCGAAAAAAAGTAAGCCGCCCATTTTCGGAATTGTGTTCAGCAGTGACAGAGGCACGCACACGAACCCCATAACCTCGAACCCAAGCACGAATATGTATTCAAACCAAGAAGCTTTCCAGCTTAGTCCTGCCCAAAAATAACAACAACGAAAATCACAAAAATTTATTACCACCTTCAAGTGCAGCAGTCTCTGCCAGGAGCGCAGTCTATGAGAGCAACGGCTTGACTTTATACAATTTCGTTTTTAATAAATTATGTTTAATAACACTTTGAATATGCTGCGAAATTAATTTGTGCGGCGTCCCCGACAAACCACAAGATAGCAAGACGAGGCCAGCCATAGCACAAAGTTCGTAATACCCTCACGCACACACATACACACCCACGCACACTCAAAAGCATACGCATTGGCAGGACCTCAACTGGGCGAGCGACCGGGTCATAAAAAAAGGATTTTACTGCCTGCCCATGCTGCGTCGCACGCACACCGCACACCTACTCAAACGAATGAACGCACACACACTCAAGCACACACACACTCAAACACTTTGATATGTACTTATACATATGCTAAGTATAGCTAGGCCATGTCAGCGCTTTGGTGGGTGGCTCCATAAAAAAAGCAATTTTCAACGTTGATGATTACTCAATGCCAAAAACACACTAACAGTCAGTGCCAGTCAAACACACACACATACACACAATAGGCACGTACATGCAGCGTTCTCGCTCGCACGTCCCCACAGTTGCACGTTTCATTTCCGACACAGACGCTGACGCCGACGCCGCTTCAGCATTACAGAAGGCACCGCAGTTGCCATTTAGTTGGTCTGTCACTAGTTGGTTTTGTATTCGTTGACAGCGATGAAAATATTCCTCGCTACTCACGTTTAGGCGCTGCTTAAAAGTAAATTGGCTCTACTGCTTCTCCCCATTGGCCTCTGCCTCACTGGCCGCCTTCCTTTCTGTCCCTATATAGCTTCTTTGAGTACATTTGCAAAATTTAAGCCGCCCCTGTCACTGTCAATGTTACAGTTCCAGAGTTACTGCCAAAATCACAATCGCCATCACTTGGCATTCACGTCGGACAAAACTCCGCAATGCCCAATGCATAAATATTTTAAAATGCTTTCCACTTACTACGATTCCTTGCCAGCACGCCAAAGTAAATCAAAATTTGAAATTATTTAGGCATAATATACACATTTGATTGCTGTCAATAGGTTGATGAATTAAATTTGTTTTGCCATCAAAGGAATTAGCTTTCATCCTTTATTATTGGTGGCATATTTCGAACTAACAAATCGTTGTAATATTACTTGCGTAAAGAGAGCTCCTGACAACAAAAAGGAGCAAACTTTATAATGCATTCGGTTACATCGTTTTATTACTTATTCACAAAGGGAACAATTGGATAATAGTATGTGTCTTGCTGCCTGCCCTATTGAAACTGAAGAAAACTGTGAAAATTTGCAATTTCATATTATTAAACGCAAAAAAATGTTTATGATAATGAAAACTGCGAAAATCTACACTTATCTAAACTAATGGCTTCTTTATAGAGCTTAAGTAGCGGACTTGTTGAAAATATTTGATTACATTTAATGTTAAATTGCAAAAAAAAAATACTAAAACATTTAGCACTTTGCCGACATACATTTTCCATTTTAATACTATAAGCTCCTTAGAGTTCTCTGCTTAAGCTTGTGCAAGCTACTTACATTTGCACTATGTATTAACAAAGTTTGAAAATTCAAATATGGGTTTATTTGGTTTATTAAAAACACTAGAAATATTTTTAACTTTACAGTGATCAATTTAATTTTTTAATTAAATTTCTGCTTGGGAAACTTCGATATTCAATTACCAAAACTTGCCTCAGTTTATCATATTTAAGAAAAATTTCTACTACACCTAGCTTAGTCGCTTTGGTTTAAACGAGCTAAGCAAATTCCCTCCTCGTTAGCCATCCATTGCAGAAAATTCGACTTAATAAATGGTTAATACAATTTCCGAAAACGAAATTACGTACTTGGAATAAAATTTGCTGAACTTCGCAACTATTTAAATATGGCAAGAGGCTCAGGAAACGAGTACAAGCTCGGCGCGGATGCCTTCATGTAAATGGCAGTGGCTGCTGCTTTTGCTTTTGCTCTTGATGTTGCTGTAGCTTTTTCTGTTGCTGTTGCTGTGGCTGATGCTGCTGCTGCTGGTTGCCGCCCAGTTGACTGTGCAACCGCTGGAAGTAAGTGGTAAACAACGTAATCTGATTTCAGTTAAAGCCTGCCTCCCGGCACGCCCACTGGACAAGCGACAGCCCATAGTTAACACCAAGTTGTTGGACCAATAAAACGGTAAATTTAATAAACGCTTGACAGGCGAAAAGTTGAGCAGTTTGGTTTAATGCCTCATTAGTCGTCGCCAGTTCCCCGACACTGAATCTGAATCCCGGAGGTTGTGACATTGATAGCCAAGGCAAGCGTCAGCAACAAAGTTTTGGGCAATTCTGACACAACCATACACACACATATATATATGTATGTATATATATCTATACACCCACACTCACACTTCTGGTACGTGTGCCTAACCCGCAGCTGACTTTGATTTCCATGATTAATACTTAAGTGCTTGTTAAAGTTTCACCAACACATATTCGGTCAGCAGCTGGTGCTGCCCGTGAGCCCTGCCCAGCTGTTCAACGAGGCGCACAATATGCAGATGTGAGCTTTCCCTATTCCCGCCTGATCCTAAACAATCGTTGACTTCGCATTTGGCTGTTTGCATGCCCCTGTTAGTGTGTATTTAGTAGAAAATTTGCTGAGGCTGCAGCAAAACACTGACAAGACACTGTCGAACAGGGTTTGGTACCCTTTTGGCAACGACGAAAGCTGCGTTCATATGAACAGACGAACATAGCTAAATCGACTCAGGACATTGTCCTGATCAAGAATATATATACTTTCTGCTGCCTGACACGCCTCCTTCCGCCTATTACACTTTAACAAAAAAAAATACCGTAAATTGTCATTTTCAGTGAGCTTGGTTATAAAAAATCACTAATATTAATTGGACATTCTGTGCGAAAGGATTGAATTCAAATAGTTATCAAATTAACTAAGCGACCAGACGGATTAAAGATTATGATTAAAATAAAAAATTATAGAAAGTACATTTGTACATTTGATTTGAAAGAAAGCATTTGGTAGACGCAACACCGCAAATAAAGTCAAATTGTTGCTTTTATTTAAATCACTGTGCATACTTTGACAAATCGGTTAGTATAACAGTGCAATAAGATATACCAACATAGTCTACATTATTTTTTTAGATAAATATCTTCCGTAGTTAGTTAATTGAAGCTGATGCCTTGTGAACCCACTAACAAGCAGCCAGCTGCATGGAATGGTTCACGTGTGGTGGCTGTTGACAGGTTTGCCCCAAACCAGCCATCCGGCCTGCGGATAAGGTAACGAATGAACGTGGAAACCACAAAACCTCACGCCGACCACATGAAACTTATTTGTTGGTTTTAATAATTATATACTAGCACTGGCAACGGTAGCAACAAACCCCGCTCTTTAATATGCCAGGCCACGGTTCAATTACACACGTACATAATGGACGGGTTGGTCAGGGCATTGGCAAACAGGAAAGCTGAAAAGCTGGCACTGGGCACAGACGCGTCAGCATCAGCAGCAACAGCCGCATCTGGCTTCATTAGGAACAACTACAGTCATCCGAGTAGATGTTGACAGCGGAATCATCTGGATTAATGCCGAATTTTAATTAGTACAACGTGCAGCCAGTCAGTCAGTCAGCCAGTCAGTGAGTGAGCCAGTTAATCTTATGGTCTGACCCGCACGTTTTATCGTTCTTATGCTGTTCAACTGGCAGCTGATGGCCGCTCCTCGTTCACATAGTTATGACACTTGGCGCCTTATCAACGTTCTTGCAGCGACCGATGTGAGCAGCTTATAAACGCAGCCAGGCGCAAGTTTTGGGGAATCTATAGGCCAGCATACTCGCATACATATACACATGTAGGCATATGCTCCGCACAACACAACCGCACCACCCCATCACCCACTCACAATATGGTCTAATGAGCACGCATCATATGCATGATTAATTCGCGAAATGAAAAATTTTTCCAGGTTGTTTCTTGACTGAGCGAGCTCCTGTCAACCTGTCAGATTGGGTGCTAAGGGAGAAGGCATCACAGCCAAGAGTCTGCCATGTCTGTTTGTGACATCTGATAAGCTGGCAAGCAAACGCAACACTGCCATGCGGTAACCAACCCGACTCAAGGAAACCAAAAAAAAGCAACAACAGCGCAACTTAAAACTTACAAAAGAAACTTTACACTTAGTTTTGGGGCAAAACTTGAAAACGGTTTTCACTTCCGTTTGTCAAAGTGTCTTGGGTCGCTGTTGCTTGGCTGCAACCACCGAGACACAGTCTTACAGTTAACATTGGACTTCATAAACAACATTCACCGTACGACTATGTCATGGTAATTGAGCGTCGACTCACTGCCTTTTTAATGCTGGCAGCATGTATATCCTGCCAACTGGTCGACTCGGCTACACAGCCAAGCAGTACATCATCGTACATCAATGTACCTTTACGTTGATTGACGCAGGTAATATGCTCAGTTGCCTTATCAGTGGAACAATGGTTCTGGCGCTGTTGTAGCGCTGTCATCTGTATCCTGTGCGCC